ACACCACACCACACCACACCACACCACACCACACCACACCACACCACACCACACCACACCACACCACACCACACCACACCACACCACACCACACCACACCACACCACACCACACCACACCACACCACACCACACCACACCACACCACACCACACCACACCACACCACACCACACCACACCACACCACACCACACCACACCACACCACACCACACCACACCACACCACACCACACCACACCACACCACACCACACCACACCACACCACACCACACCACACCACACCACACCACACCACACCACACCACACCACACCACACCACACCACACCACACCACACCACACCACACCACACCACACCACACCACACCACACCACACCACACCACACCACACCACACCACACCACACCACACCACACCACCACAGCACACCACAGCATACCATAGCACAGCACAGCACAGCCAGCCACGCACACGACACCACACCACACCACACCACAACAACAGCTGATAGACTCTCATGTGTTCGTTAAAATTAAGAAGAAGTTGACATCGATAGAGGAACCCTTTCATGTCTATCACTTCTGACTGCCATTCAAAGACTTCAGCTGATAAGACTGAAAGTTTATCAGAGATGTTGCTCCACAATGTTAAAGCCCAGTAATGCTAGCAATACCTTGTGTCAAGGCTGGTTCTAGTGAGCTGGTCCTCCCAATTATTTTACAGTCAACACCATGCTTCAGTTTCCATGTCTGCTAGCCCAGGACACTACAAACATGGACTACTTTGAGTGTACGACATGGGGTCGGTGGGCGGTTACTGCACAACGGGAAGTCAGTTTGTCATGTTACATTGAACTAAGTTTTACTTGCTTTTTGCAATATTCCAGCTATAACACAGCAGGGGACACCAGAAATGGGCTTCACACATTGTACCCATGTTGGAATCGAACCCGGGTCTTTGGTGCGGCCAGTGAACGCTTTAACCACTAGGCTACCCCATTTCCTGTCATTTATAGACCACAAAACATAAACTTCAAAACAACAGCTACTTGTTTTAATAGATGGATTTCTTGAACATGGAACACTTGCTATTTTACAAGTAATATGACCTATCAAATTGTATAGCTTGGCATCTCTAATGTCCTCGGTGTGCAGCCTGTGGGTGCAATATGAAACATGGGAGAGTCTCAGTGTTCTTTTATCCCAATGTCCTGAGCACTATCTTCTAGATTACCAATCAGTATTATTTATGTGCGAGTCTCGAGGCTGGCAGTATGCCAGGTCATGTGACCGAGTCTGCTGCTTGTGCGACCACTGAACCCTGTCTATTGGGACCTGTCTGTATGGAGTAGCCACAAGGGGAGGTAATTGATGAGTGGAAAAGGAGTTTTATTCACTTTCCTCATTATCGAAACCACTGTCAGTCTACCAACAAGTTGTTTTTGTTAACAGCTGTAGTTGGTAATCATACCGCTGTAAATTTTAATAGGTCGGCATTTAGAACCAATGTGTAAGGGGCCATGTTGTAACTTGTTTACAAAAAAGTGAATGCAAGGTTTGTTTATTAAAGTGCTGTTGACACATTTAGGTTTCTAATGTCATGACATTTTTTCGGAAATGCTTTCCAGCAAGTTTGAGATGTAAAACATCTCAGTGATAACTCTTTATTCATAGCTGAAATTGAAAGATTGATAAAATAAAATAATAATCATAATTATTTTTACCATAGCAGTATTATGGCTGTCCTTAAGAATAAGATAAAACTATAAGGGCTGAAATTAATATTTATTTTCACTTGTCCACAAAGTGGATAATCAGCTGAGTTGTCATCTAACTCATGTTTAAAGTTGTAGTCCTCAAGCTAGCTCTCACTATAATTTTGTTATAATTTTTGATTGAAAAATTAATTAAAACTGCCTCTGCTGCTAAACAAGGTAGACATAAATAAAAGCAGTTGGGTTTCGTACAAGCAGGACAGGCTACAAGTTCCAAATGACCAGTGTAATAAGGTTTCTCTCTCCTTTGGACTAATCTTAAAAGAAAAGAAGTTCTAAGGCTGTCAATGCATTGACTTGTCATGCTGATGACATTGGTTTGATTTACCACATGGCTACCTTGAGTGAATCGACAGCCCTTTCTTGATGCTCTCCAGCTGTTACAGCTAGATTGAAGTGAATTGTGAATCGTCTAGCAGAACAGGCTCATACCCTCACTCCTTTGCAGATTGGAGAAAAGTGAAACTGTTCGTCCCCGCTGGGTTCAATTAATTTATAATTTCATGAGTCAAAAAGATGATGTGGCATAGAGTTGCATTTTCCTGATACACCCTAAATGCATATTAGTGGTCCACAATTAATTGTCGCTCGTCCTTCCTGAATTTAGCTCATCTCAGAATAGGGCTGTTTGTTTAGTGTAACATTTCATGGCATATTGCCATGGTTTTAGACCAATTAGTTAAACCTCAAGTATTTAGTGTGAAGTCAAATTTACCATGTGAACAAGCTCATACGTGTAGTCTTGTACTGTGGTTTCAAATAACCCTAGGTGTATGGCAGCGTCTTCAGCCAGGTGCTCCCAGCATGCTCTAGGGGAAGCAAGGTGGTAGATCACTCTACTCTAGTAATGTCTGATGTCTACTCTAGACAGGAAGTTTATTGGAACAGGTGATCTGATCTTTCTGTCTCATATTGGTAGGCAGTTCTTACATCCTAAAGTAATGTAAGGCGTAAAAGACTTCGATGATGTCTAATTCAGATCAGGGCCCCATTCCAGAAGGTAATTGTTGCTCTGTGACAGTTGTACATCAGTGTCTACGTATGGGAGTTGCGATCACCTTAGATTTAATTCTTTGTTCAATGGGTCCCTTTGTTCAGAATATTTCAGAGTGTTTGGTGTTATCGAATGAAAATGGTTGGTTGATTTGTTGTTTAATGCCTCACTGAGCAATATTCCAGCTATATGGCGGTGGTTTGTAAATAATTGAGTCTGGACCAGACAATCCAGTGATCAACGGCATGGGCATCGATCTACGCAATTGGGATACGATGACATGTGTCAACCAAGTCAGCGAGCCTGACCACCTGATCCTGTTAGTCGCCTCTTACGACAAGCATGGGTTACTGAAGATAAATTCTAACCCGGATCTTTTCGGGTCTCTAATGCAAATGAACAGGTTCTGGAAACTGAGAGCAAGTGTGAACATAGATATTTTGAGGGACTGGATTTGTTTTACAGTTTTGTTTCATCAGGGCTCAAGAGAACCGTGGGACTGTTGATTATTTTCTCATGTTTTTCACGTTAGGTATTTACTTTTCTTTGGGTATTCAATTCTTTTTTCTCCCTTGGGTCAGTCGTTTAGGTATTTTGAAACCAATGTGTGCACCTTTGTTTTCAAATTCAGCTGTCGAAACAACTTTGTTCTCTAAACAGCTGTCCTTGGTCTGTCAAGGCCGTGCATCATGTACCCGGGAAGACCTGGGTTAGAATTAGTCTTCGTAAACCCATGCTTCTCGTAAGAGGCGACTAATGGGATCAGGTGCTAAGGCTTGCTGACTTGAATAAGATGTCATCGTATCCCAATTGCATAGATCAATGCTCATGCTGTTGATCACTGGATTGTCTGGTCCAGACCCGATTAATTACAGGCCTCTGCCATATAGCTGGAATATTGCTGAGTGTGGTGTTAAACAACAAACAAACAAACAATCTGTGCAGTACAGATTTCACAGTTTGTCTGTAACCTGGGCCAATTGGGATTTCCTCATTTTTGAACTACTGGCAGTGATTAGTGTTTTCTGGCATGCATCCTCCAGGTAATCTGGGAATTATCCATCAGAGCAACTGAACTGCTAAATTGTTCTAATTATATTTTTGTGGTTGGTAATGTGTTTTCTCTTTAAGTATGTAGGTGTAGATGTTTCTAATAACTGAAACATATGTTTATGGTAATACTCTTGAACAACCTGTGAAATATGATATAAACTGTTGCGTATTTGCTATATCATGGTTGTGAGACTTTGTTGCATTTAACAATATTGGAATATTAGACGATGGGGTAGCCACCTTGTCCCGGGTTTGATTCCCCACATGGGTAAAGCCCATGTGTGAAGCCCATTTCTGGTGTACTCCGCTGGAATATTGCTGAAATCTGCGTAAAACCATGCTCACTCACTCCTGCAGTACTCGTGAAAGTCTGGGTTAGAATATTGATCTTCAGTAACCCATGCTTGTCGTATGAGGCAACTAACGGGATCGGGTGGTCAGGCTCGCTGACTTGGTTGACACATGTCATCGGTTCCCCATTGTGCAGATCATTGCTCATGCTGTTGATCACTGGATTGTCTGGTCCAGACTCGATTATATACAGATCGACGCCATATAGCTGGAATATTGCTGGGTGCGGCGTAAAACATTCACACTCCTGTTGACCGGAATAAATTAATTTACAGTTTTAATCAGGGCTTGTCCTTTCACAGTTCACCTGTGTTATTTGATTTTGACAATTCAACTGCTGTAATAACTGATTGAACATGTATTTGTCTGTTGATGATAATCTATCCAGTGAGAGCAGTTCGATCTGTATCCACACGCTGAAGTAGCGGACAATGTTTGTGTTTCATCATGAAGTCCTTTAAAGTCAGATCAAGCTCATCACAACCCTACCTGCTGGCTTGTTTGTATTGAATCAATATGCCCGATTAAATGCTTGTTGCTGGCTGGCGACTGAAAACATCGCTTACCCCGCAAAGGGTTAATTATTGATAGGTGTGAAAATAAGGCCGCATGTGATCCCGACCTAGTTGTATATCGAGGCCTGTGTTGGAACAGATGGATATTGATTTTCGGTAGAGTCTATGCATGTCCTGTGTAAGCAGGAAATGCAGACATAGAAAAAGCCATCCATTGGTGGATTTCTTATCATACCACTTCAAACTCGGATGTGTCAACAAATGTGATTCGTCGGGACATGAATGTCACATTTTCTGATTGGTTGATGAGCTTGTCAACATGTCCACACCAACATGTCGCCTCGGTTCTGCGTATATGATAACCACAATCTGTGGTAGCAGCATTTCGTAAATAGAAGAACGTTGGCAAGGATGTCGGTGAATATGAACAATGATGACAGCGATGCCGATGAAGGAATTACTTTTGAAGCCAGAGAGCGAAGTTGTTGGGCCGGTTTTGCACGCCACTTTGAGATGTTTATCAAATGGCTTCTGCATCATGCAACAGGTAGTTATAGGAGTTATGACCTGGTTGATATGATCGAGTTAATTACCAGCAGCAGAAGGGAAAACAGCCAGGGCTAGGTTACCCCCCCAGAGCCATGTTGGAAAGATCAAGTCATTAACTGCTGGGTGACATTTCGTTGGGCAGATTCAGCATATGCATTTTGATAATTGTAAACACAGAACCTGACTTGTGGTGTTGTTTGAATCTGTTAGGGTGTTGGATGTATGCTACATCACTTTATGTCTGGTTTTAAGATATTTTGACGTTTTGAAGGAAAGTTGTTTTACATATAGCTAATATGTAAAATATTGATCAATATGTAAGTTTCGAAAACAACATGAAACTGGTTCTAACAAGATTAAACAGGACTTGTCCAGTTAAATGTTTCACGCGCCCATGTGTCAGGTGCTTATGCTTTCTTTGTCTATAATCTAAAAAAGGGAAGTGGGGTAGAATAGTGGTTAAGTGTTTACTCGTCACGCCGAAGACCCGGGTTCGAATCCCCACATGGGTACAGTGTGTCAAGCCCATTTCTGGTGTTGCCTACCATGATATTGCTGGAATATTGCTAAAAGTGGCTTAATACTAAACTCATTCACTCACTCATTTAATCAAAAATAGTGAGCCGTAATTAGTGCTATCAGTTGGCTATGCTTTTGATTGCGCAATTTCACAACTGTTTTTGTCAGGTCAGCAAAAAGTAAGAATTCAGTCCTTATTGTAAGTGCTGAATGCCTAGTATCTATAGCTTGTTTACAGTAACAAGTATCTTCTCTAATTGTGACTGTAATTTTGTTAATTTGATCCAGTAATATTCTTAACATTATTTTGCTGGGTTTGTTTGACAGTTGTATTATTATATTTTGTTCTACACTTATGTATTCACAATGGGCAGACTAATTATGAAATCTTAAAGTGAGGATAGTGTTCTGTTTGGTTATCCTTTATGTTTAATTTGTTCGGTAGAATAAATATTTTGTTGATATCTTATTCTTTAATTTTCTTGGGTGGTGGGGTAGCCTGATGGTTAACGCGTTCGCTCACTCCAAAGACCCTGGTTCGATTCCCCACATGGGTACAATGTGTGAAGCCCATTTCTGGTGAACCATGCCGTGATGTTGCTGGAATATTGCTGAAAACGGCATAAACTAAACTCTTTCACTTTAATTTTCGAAATATATAAACAAACAAACAAATAAATAAATGCTTTTGTTCCCTTGGTTCAGTCTTGTAGGTAATTGAAACAAGTGTGCACCTTTAAATAAATAAATTAATAAATAGATACATAATAAATGATTAAATGTGAATGAATGATCTGTGTAATATCTGCAGAAATTATGTTGACAGTATAAGCCGATAGGAACAGCATGAAATGTGAGTTGATATCATGGATGTGACTACGTGTTAATGCACGTGATGTGAGATATATCAATACTTTGACATATGGTCATGTCACGTGTGATAAGCAATGTATTCAGCTCTATGAATAACTTGGTCTTAAAGACTGATTAGGACTAGCTAATAACGTGTCTTTGCAAAGTTTATTTGGTCCCTCATAAAACAGTTGATTGGTCTTCTTATTCAAGTCCCTTAATAATGTTATAGAAAGTCGCAGCATCTTCAATCTTGTATTATGAAATGTAATTTTGACACGTGTAGAAAGACAGCTTGTTTAATGATGCACTATTACACTTGTAACTCTGGAATTTTGGAACTTGTGCTCTAAAATATTTTTCTATAGTTCATGTAAGAAAACAAGCCTCAAAAGCAATTTCTTGTTATCACAATTATAGAAGGTTGCTGTGATTGGACGTTGCTGATAGTAAATATTCGCTGTCGTGTGAACACTTCCTTATTCTGTGAGGGTTATTGTGTTTTTTTGTGTATGGGAAGATTTCATTGTGGAAGATTGCTGCTTTGAGCGTGGGGAAGGCCATTGATTCTTGCCCTGACAAGGGACACGAGAATGTTGCAGCCGCTGTCAGTGCTGTCACGGGCTGAAAACTGTTGCATGCTGGTAATTAGTTTGACGAGTCCGCGAGAAATAACTTCAGCAATCTTTGAACCGTAATTGAATAATGACCACACTAAAGAAACTAACTGAATTACGGAGATATTTTGGGCCATGTAAATTGCGGTTCTGATAAGTTTGTTTCGGAAGTAATGTAGTGTTTTTCGGTTAGTTCACACATTTCAAAGGGGACAGGTTATGTGTGGTAAAAGGTTGTGTTTGACCTTTTTCAATAAGGGTTGATGTCAACACAATGTACCATGAAGCATGGAGGTCAGACAGTAGTGATATTTGTTTTATTCGTGTGTAGAAAGAATTTGATTTTGTGTTCTTTTCGTAACATTCCAACAATATCACTTTTGTTTCCTCAAAGATCAGCAGGTTGTGTCCATTGAACATTTTGGGAAGAGAACTTGGGGTTTGGGTAAAGCAATGCTATCCTTTCTCTCTGATTTGTTGGGGCATGTACGAATCCTTTCGTGAAGTTGGATGGGAAAGTGAAAACTGACCCCCTCAATCTACTCCTGCAGCCACAAGTTTGAACCGAGATTCTCAAAACATTTATCAGGGTTTTGCCATCTTATTACTAGTTTCATTGTATTTGTTCCCTAAGTCCAAAGATTTCACAGGTTACTTCTGTTGAACAAAGTGTGATCACTAAATGTTCGTTTTTAAGCAATGGTGGCAGATTTTAATCTCGGGGTCGCTGGTGTAGCCTAATGGTTAAAGCGTCCTCTCGTATCTCTGAAGACACGAGTTCGATCGCCACATGGGTAACGTGTGTAAAGCCCATGTCTGGTGTTCCCTGCTTTGATATTGCTGGAATATTGCTGGAATATTGCTGAAATATTGCTGAAAGCAACATAAAACCATACTCACTCCTTCACTACATGCCATCTAATGTTAATTGGAGGACTTTGAATTTAATACAAGAAATTTTGAAACCTGAACAATTTTGTGTTTGGAGATGATTTGTATGAAAGTAGAATTGCATTGAAAGAAGTAAGCCGAATTTACGTAATTACTGTTATGCATTAGAAAGATACTAGAAATCATTTGAGGCATGCACGGTCTTATATTTCTACTTGTGGGATCTTTGTTTTTTGTGTTATGTTTTGGGAACTGGTAGAATTTTAGTACATTAAAGGATTCCAAGTTAAATATTTGTTGTTATTTGGGCAAGTAAAAGTTTCAGGTTATTTTCAGTTCTGTTGCTCATTATGTGCTAAAACTGCTGAAAATAGAAACCGAGTGGTATACATGTTACAGATCTCTTTCATTAAGAGTGGAAATATTCAGCATTCAGAAGTAGTATTTTATTAGTAAATTATTCACCTTCTACATGTTTTAGTCAAGTTGAGCAAAATATGTTGACAAAAAAAAAAAGAAGAGAATTATTGCTTCATAGTTTAGGGATTTTCCTTGAGTCCTGTATTTGAGTGTCCCTGGGACTCATTTCTTAATTTTCAGGGGTCCTGGACAACAAAATGGGGGTCCCAGACACTTAAATATTATTATTGATACCATATAATATTCAGTTACTGTTATTGTATTGTGATCATGATCATCACATTGTTACAGTAATTAAATTGCAAATGATACCATAACCCAGCAAGTAACAAGCTCAGTGATAACTTATTGTTACAGTTACTTGATTGAAATTTTACGAAAAGTATTTGGACTTTTTCTGCGTCACCGTGGGCGCGCTATTAAATTTCGTTGCGTCCATTGTTGATTTTTATGTGTATAGGATGCAGGAATTTGTGTCCTGTAAACCCCTGCTAGTTTATTCAAAGTCATGCGAAATATTTGACTATGTGAAAGATGTGCCGCATCTGTTATCATTGAGGTGGTTAATATAGCAGCTGTGTTATCGACTGTCTGAGTCATTAACCACCTGAGTATTATCGTGATATACATACCTACATACCTACATAATGTATAATATTATACCAAAGGGAAACACGTGCCGTAGACAGCTATCAGTTTGGATGCATGTAATCTGTATCGTATCTTCCACTAGATCATTGATAAGAATAGTGACAAGGATGAAATTGATTAACTAGAACTAATCAATATACGGGTGATGATTTTATGGTGGCTGATGAAAGTGTTACGCACAATTTGAAAATGGTTAAGTTGAAAATATGTTCATTGAATTCTTAACCAATGAATTGATGTGGTTCATTGAAACTGTGCAAGCTTTGGAGAGAAATGTAAACGACAGAGTGCTTGAAATTCATCTTTTGAAGTTTATCGTAAAGACCAGGGTGCCATTCTACAAAACAACCTTACTGGCATGACAGTCATAAGTCTATGTTACGGTATTGGAGCAGGGCGTGACATTCACCCAAATTCTCGAACCAGACCACAGGACCAATAGCTTTTAGAAATCACTGGTCCTTACAGATTCTTACTGGTCCTGTTAAGGGACTCTTATTGACAGCCTCAAATATCTACTAGACTGTTGGGATAGCACTTATCAAAGTTTCACTGGTCCTGTCAACATTTTGCTAGACCCGAGCCAGTGGGATAGCGTGAATGTCGAGCCCTGTGGAATGACGATCACCTTAGCCCTAACATCACTTTGTACGATGACACCCAGGTGTCTGTGACACAGATGAATGTTAAAAACTAAAGACAGGAAGGAAGTTTGCAGATTTAGGAATAAATGTTTATTGAACTAGTTCACAAAAAGGACGTGCTACCGAGTAGCCATACTTAGTCATCAAATGTTGATGGTAATTGTCGTAACCCACAAATAAGTTTCATCATTCCTTCCTGAGGAGGAACTGCATTTTGTGGACCTTACACATGTCAAACCCATTTGAATCTTGGATTTGTATGATTATGTTTATAAGTCTTCAGTACATACTCCTACTCATGGATTCTGCCTAAGTGGTTACTGTCTTAAGACCTGCTGTGATTTAACTGAAATATTGTTCAAAGCAGTATTCAACCAAACTAGTCATGAAGATCCTGGTTAGAATTCGTCTTTAGCATCCCATGCTTATCATAAGAGGCGACTGACAGGTTCGGGTGGTCAGGCTCGCTGACTTGGTTGACACGTCATCATATCCCAATTGCATAGATTGATGCTCATGTTGTTGATCACTGGATTGTCTGGTCCAAACTTGATTATTTACAGACTGCTGCCATATAGCTGAAATATTGCTGAGTGCGGCGTTAAACAACAAATAAACAAACAAATGATTTCGTTTTGAATTTCGTCATGTTATTTTGAACTGTCCACCCATCATTATGTGCATCCAAGCCACTCCCTTTACAGGACTCCATTTTAACTGTGTTATTCAGCAAATATGAGAGATGGTTGAAGTGCAACAAGGCCAATCATGGGATGCTGTTGTATTTTTAGATCTGCATCATCTGCTTGAATTTCAGAATATCATATTTCCAGGTCTGTTGATTAAATTGTGATGCTGGAAATAAACTTTAATCTTTAATACTAATTTCCTTCGGGTCCTCAAGTGGCACCGTGAACACTGTTAAGTGAAATGTTCATTTACTGGTTAAATCAATATGGAACTGAAAAGAGATTGATCGTCTTGGTGCTCAGTCAGATGCTGGTTTCAGAAATTGATTCATAGACGTTATTGTTGTCTCTGTATAGATTTTCATGTATCGTTTCACTGGTTGCCATGCCAACAGGTGTTGTTTTTATCTAGGTTCATGCACCTTTTGTTTGAATGGTGATTTTCTTTTTGCTTTTTAGTGTTTGATATCAAAAAGGTCACCATGTGAATTGTATACTGAATTTGATTTCGTGTTTTGGAGAAAGCATGTTTTTGTTGAGTTCTGAGAAAGGTAATGTTTTTGTTAATGAAATGTGTTTTTGGTTGCTTTGAACAATAGGTTTTCGCTGTTTGTGATGTCTTGGAAACTGAAAATATGTTTTATTGAAACTGTTAAAGGGATGCCTGGATTCACAGTTGTGGGAATATATTGATTGCATTTTTTCATATTTTCATTTTGAAACACAAATAAGAGGATTTGATGATTTTTATATTATTAGTTATTACAAATGTTTCTAACAAATGACACTTTCAAGAAAAACATTATGTGACCATGATGGGTTTGTTTCCACCTGCTTACAGGCTAAGGAGATAATTACAGGAAATATTGATTGGAAATGTCATGAAATATAGGAAATGTGTGTCATCAATACTATTTTGTCATATGATGAAATATAGCTTTAATGTGAACACATAATGCACAAAATGCTTTTATCCATGGTCTGCTACTAATTTATGTTACAAATGCTGTTTTTGTTCGTAATCCATGCACAAACATGTCATCACTAAGTGACATGAGATATGTGGTTTTATTTCTGAATTTTTCTGCATTTTTGCTAAAAACTGTTTTAAAAACTGTTGATAATTGATAGAGATTTAGTTAACGATTCATTCTCTATGACCTATAGCGATATCTATCCCCATTTATTACTGATATCAGGGCTGTGGGGTAGCCTAGTGGTTAAAGCGTTGGCTCGTCACCGAAGACCCGGGTTCGAATCCCCACATGGGTACAATGTGTGAAGCCCATTTCTGGTGTCCCCGGCCGTGATGTTGCTGGAATATTGCTAAAAGCGGCGTAAATCCAAACTCAGTCAGTCAGTCAGTCAGTGTTACTGATATCTCTTGTTCACACGTGAAACTCTCTTTGGGAAGATATTTCCAGAATGCGTATCAGAGACACTGGAATACCTTGATGTAGTGATATCAGTCTAATGGCTTGAATAGATAATAATTGACTGTGCCACACAGCGTGTCAGATATCTGTTTTCGAACGTGCTAAATATGAAGACATCTGTTCAGCTGTAACAGTATCTTTGAAGCCGAACAGAAGCAGAATTCATGAATATAAGAAGACCAGGCTTTTGTTGTGAGGGTCGCAGGCTGGATGGGATATTGTTTATATTACAGTTTATATACAGTTTATTTTGTCAGAAGGTGTGTCATTTCATGTTATTAGCACAATTTTTTTCATTTTTGTTTTTGTCAACAAGGGTAGTAATCATGGTTAAGCCTTTAAGTAAATGTGGCTGAGAAATGGATAGTTATGTGTGTAACAGATTATTCACATATTCATTCACAAATTGTCTATTGTGTTTTGAGCATATCTATTAGGCATTAAGGCCATGTGGCCAAATGTACAAATAGTTGACAACATTTTCCAGTTTCCTTCCAAGACACTTAATGGATAACATCTTTTTTATCATTTTATCAAATATTTATGATACTTATAAAATTCATAGTTGATATTATTCTGTATCATATCAAGAAATATGATAAAAAAAAGTTGTCATCCATATAGTATCTTTCATGAATTGTTGCTCACTAAAATGGCAGTGAAACATATAAAGTAGGGCTGCTGTGGTGGTCAAATACATAAAATATGAACTTGCATTCTGTATCATCTATATATTTTGTGGAAGTTAATTTAAAGAATAATTTAAAGCCCATTTCGGGTAACCCTCGCCTATTTCTGGAATATTGCTAAAAGCGGCATAAAACCATACTCACTCACTCCATAACTGGCTGATATATTCTAACTCAAATAATGCAAAACATAAAGTTGGTATGGTATGGTATGGGTATGGTATGGTATGGTATGGTATGGTATGGTATGGTATGGTATGCCCCCCAGTGAGATACGAGGAGTACTATACACATGATCCTCATGAAATCTCCCTGAGTTCCGCTGTCCGACATCTGTGCTGTAGACGGCTGTGGCATGTTGTTGTAAACACACCACAATGTGAATACAGAATGTGGACCATTATATCATGTCATGTCGTCCCGGTGCTTATGATTATTCATCGTCGTCCCTGTTGTTTATGTTTTCCTTGTTTGTTTTCCTGCAGGGTCGTCGACGGTGTCGCTGAAGAAACCACGCAGCAGTCGTGGTCTGCTGAGTTCGTTCTTCTGTTGTTTCGGGACAAACAACAACAATAACAACAACAATGCCCAGAACCACTGCCAAGTGCCTCAATCACCAGAAAATGGCAACCCTAAGGTATTTAGTCACACTTTGAGAGGAAATCTAAGGAAGAATATCTTCCATTGCGTCAGTCTCCAGAAAATGTGCCCATTCTAAATTCAGAAAATGGCTAATAATCCTGAAAATGGCCCATTGTCAAAGTTCTCTATCCCAATCCCTGTGCCAGTAATTATACTTATATAAACACCATAAAGGCAATTCTGGGGCGGTATATCTCACATACAAACATGGACAGGTAGATTAGCTCCCCAGTGCCTGAATGAGCAGAATATGGCAACCTAAAATCCTAGAATGTAATAACATAAACACAATATGTAGCACATAAACCTTTGAGACTGTTATATCCTGGCTGACCAATGCTACATATTGCCTACATAAGCCAGTATTCAACAATAAAGTTAGCTGATATGCTAGATATTGGCTTTTAAGCCTGGACATAACAGTTCAAGCATGTAGACATTACCGTTACAGTCTGGATGTAACACTCATTGTTACATCGGTATTAACCAGGCAACATGTGTAGCATCTCTTCCCTCGTATTCATATTGATTGGGCCAGTCAAGTTAGACAACAGCTGTCTTGTGTTGTTAATATTGTCCAAGTTGTCTGGCTCAAAGTTTCCCAGTGATGCTTACAAGGCCAGAATATACACTGATTTGTCCTCTGTCCTTGGTTCATGCTGTAGAGTTATTGACCCGTGAAGATCCGGGGTAGAATAGGTCTTCAGCAACCCATGTGCTTGCCATAAAAGGCGACTATGCTTGCCTTAAGAGGCGACTAACGGGATCGGGTGGTCAGTTTCGCTGACTTGGTTGACACATGTCATCGGTTCCCAATTGCGCAGATCAATGCTCATGCTGTTGATCACTAGATTGTCTGGTCCAGACTCGATTATTTACAGACCGCTGCCATATAGCTGGGATATTGCTGAGTGCGGCGTAAAACTAACCTCACTCACTCATTGTAGAGTTATTGAATATTCTGCATTATACATGATACACCCACCATGGTAGGGACGGATGTTGTTGCAGTGATCACGATCAATATGAATGTAAAATCAATGTAATGGTCTGATAACCAGTTACTATTAGTGCGTCAGTTTGATTAAAAGGAAATGTATATTTGAATACATTTTCTATTGTCCTGCTGGAATACAAACGTCAGTGTAAGGTGTTTTCCTTGTCAGACTCTTTACGAGCCATTGTTTTGGTTTCCGCTGCTTTAAACAGACATTTACACAGGAATGTGTAATGTCTTCAATCAGAGCCCCAGATAAGCCGTGTACTTGCGTAATACTGTTTTTAAAATAATAAATTTTGAGTATCTATTTTCTGTCGCATATTACAAATGAATTTATCATGATTCTATAACTATAGTCGACAGTGATATTTATAAAAACTACAAAAATCGTAACAGACCACAATGTGGCTAATTTCATTCCCCATTTTCCGGCTCGTGGTCCTTTTTTTAGATCTGGCAAAGTAGAAGAGACGTTTTGGTTTTATATTGTTCTGACACTGTACCAATACCTGCTCAGTAATTGTGATTGTTGGTGACGACATGAGAAGTATTGGCATCTATATTTATGGAAGGCATGACAGTTTAGGTTGAGGGAACTCTTGAAATAGTATGTAGTAAAGCAGAATGTTTTTATACCATGGTGTCATTACAAAGCAGTTCACTATTGTAGTTATTATAGGAAGAGTTGAGGACATACATAGAATATTCTTCATATCTAAAATTATTTGTATTTATCATGTTTAACCCATCAGCAGGATTTAAGGATTATTCTATTGATAACAGTAATATTTCAAGCACCTGTTACTGTTGTAAAATCTGGACAATAAGTCAGAAGCACATTATTATTGTAAGTTACAATGACTTTTATAATGTAAACATGTCAAAGCTTCATGGAGTCATATGAGACCGACACAAACAGATGTTGTTGTTTTTTATAAGGCTAAGTGTCACATTGAGCAAAGTAAATCTGACTTCAGAGCTCCAGATAAGATTTAGCTCATGTGGGTACTGTAACCACTGTATTTTTTGGAGTGGGTATTATGAATGTTGAGTGGGTATTTCATTTTCCGTTACCCACTGCTATCAAATATGTGCGTATTTCAGTCATTTTACTCACCTAAGTATTATGTCATTGAGTAAGTTTACTAAGCAGGTATGTTCTGCCTTATGTAATCAAAACCAACTTAAATATAATGGAAATGATTTCATAAAAAATCACTCATCCTATACTGACAGTACAACACTTGTCCTATACTAACAGTACAACTTGATAGCAATCGATGTCTTTTTCATTACGCAAGCGATTTTTATAAATATATTCCGTACGCATTTGTTTTAAACTTGTTGCGTATCTAACATTTTAAATGCGTAATTGGTACGCAACAATTATTTTTTCAATGCGTAATTGGAAATTTTCTATGCGTATTTTACCCGGATACGTAGCTTATCTGGGCCTCTGTGACTTGTTCTTCAGTAGATTGTTGCATGTCAGGGGCAGACAACTCTAACTACATAGAGTGTAATGTGTCTCGTTTCCTCATTGTGTTACATCTTGAATATTCATTGCTTAATAATAAGTGATAGCCATCTGTTGATTTGGTAAACAAAAGGATGGGAAACAACAGTATTTGTTTTTGAATTATTGTAAATATGTTTGGCATTTGTTTCAGCCGATTGAGAAGTACTTGTTACCTCCAGTCCGGAACATGGACACAAGCAAGAAATGCGTTGTGATTGACTTAGATGAAACGCTGGTGCATAGCTCATTTAAAGTAAGTGTGACTGATTCACTGGTTCTTTTGTACAAGGATACGATTAACATGTATTATGATGTAACATGTGTGACCCATTTATGGTGTCACGCTATGATATTTGCTGGAATATTGCAGAAAGTGGCGTAAGACCGTACTCTCCTACTCAATCACTTTTAGCTCAACATTTTAAGGAATCTATTTTGGTGAACAGGCCTTTTCAAAATAATATCAGAAGTGTGAAAACTTGCAGTTTGTTTAATTTACAATCACTGGCCTGCTGGTAATAATATAGCATATGTTCCATCAGATCATTCTAATGTTTTGTACCTTCCTTTTCAGCCAATCAGCAATGCAGACTTCATAGTTCCTGTGGAAATAGATGGCACAATACACCAGGTAGGTACACACAACATGTGGCGTCATGTCATGCTGACGACTTGGGTTTGATTCCCAACATGGGTTGTTATATGGATCCAAGAAATGTGGTTGTTACATTGTTTCCAGGAGCACTAGTTGATACATTGTTTCCAGGAGCACTAGTTGTTACATTGTTTCCAGGAGCACTAGTTGTTACATTGTTTCCAGGAGCACTAGTTGTTACATTGTTTCCAGGAGCACTAGTTGTTACATTGTTTCCAGGAGCACTAGTTGTTACATTGTTTCCAAGAGCACTAGTTGTTACATTGTTTCCAGGAGCACTAGTTGAGCACTAGTTGTTACATTGTTTCCAGGAGCACTAGTTGTTACATTGTTTGCCACTCCAAATATGTTAAAGGACATGTTGACTGAAGGCTCAATGTTTACTTGACTTCAGCCATCACAGATCAACTGAAATATGAAAAATGTATGTAGGGTGTTCTTTTACTTCCTTTCAGTAGGGGGTGGTGGGGTAGCCCAGTGGTTAAAGCGTTCGCGTTCGCCCGTCACGCTGAAGACCCGGGTTCGATTTCCCACATGGGTACAATGTGTGAAGCCAATTTCTGGTGTCCTCTGCCGTGATATTGCTGGAATATTGCAAAAAGCGGCGAAAAAGAAAACTCACTCACTCAGTCCTTTGAGTAGTTGTGACCCAAGAAGATGTGGGTTAGAATTAATCTTCAGTAGCCCATGCTTGTCGCTTGGGGGTCAGGGTCTCTGACTTGGTTGACACATGTCATTGTATCCCAATTGCGTAGATCGATGCTCATGATGTTGATCACTGGAATGTCTGGTCCAGACTCGATTATTTACAGACCGCAGCCATATAGCTGGAATATTGCCGTGTGTGGTGTACAACTAAACTCACTCACTCACTGCCTTTGAGTAATATGTGTAGGTTGTAAGTTGACATATGGAAACAGCCGTGACTCTGAAATTTTGAAGCCCGTGTTAGCGGTTTGAATGGAAGCTAAGATGTGTGGATTGTGTGAAGCCCATATCTGGTGTCCATTAAAATTGCTGGTACATTGCTAAAAGTGACGTAAAACTATAATCACTCACTCTTTCTGTATTTATTTCTATGATGTAAAGACACTAGTGTTTATATGAGAGGTTCATGTTTCAGGTGTACGTGCTAAAACGTCCATATGTAGATGAATTCTTGCAGAAGATGGGGGAGATGTTTGAGTGTGTGCTGTTCACAGCTAGTTTAGCAAAGGTAAGAATTAGGTGTCTTTGTCTCATGAACCTGTAGGTTGATAGTGACTCATATACAGAGATACCAACCACTCCGATTTTGGCAGAGTTACTGCGATTTTCAAATACAAAATCGGTTCTCCGATTTCTCTTTAAAAAACTCCGATTTTTGAGAAAAAATTATGAATTTATTTTTACAGTATGCAATTTCGTAAGTCACCGGTGATTTATTTGAGTGAACACTGGTAAAAGCATTCAGAAGTTTAGCGTGTGATCCTTTGGGTGTCGATTGTGTATATTGCGTGTTATTGATGTTGAAGTTTCATAAAGTTTTTCCGAATGCATGTCATAGTGCATATGAAAGTGAAACAAAATGGTAGAGCCGACCACCTGCTCACCCCCAACTCGCACCTTTGGTGCTCAGGCCTGGATTTCAGCCAGTCATGACTCCGTTTTCCTTAGATTCAGGGTTGGCATCTCTGCATATACCACTCAAAACAGTGAAGGACCACAGGATTCTTTCAGATTAGTATTGTAAATAGCAATCCTTAGTTATTTTTGAATAGGGGCTGTGGGGTAGCCTAGTGGTTAAAGCGTTGGCTCGTCACGCCAAAGACCGGGTTTGATTCCCCACATGGGCACAATGTGTGAAGCCCATTTCTGGTGTCCCCCGCCGTGATATTGCTTGAATATTGCTAAAAGTGGCGTAAAACTAAACTCAGTCAGTCAGTATTTTTGAGTAGTGTGGTAGGTGGTGAAGTTCAACATGTCTGCTTCAATACCTACCTCATTTACTGGCAATAATCAAATTCATTTTAGGGCCTTGGGAAGAAATTGTTTATAAAAATTCAAATTGTATTCAGTAATTGTGAAATTGTTAACAGATTAAAAGTTTGTAAAACTATAATGCTCTGATTTAATCTGATGATACTGTCTGATGAAAAGGTCAGTGTACCCTGCTTCTCTGGTGGCTCCCGTCACACACACATGCAAAGGCATGTCAATAGCTCACCTGGAAAAAACGGCAGGTATATGGTAGAGGTCAGAATAGTGAATAGTACAGAGCTACAGATAACTTTTTGGGTCATTGAGTTATGTACTCGCTTGTGTTCATCTCAATTGGGTATCCTAATTTTTCTTTGAGTAACCAAATAAATTGTACCCACCTCACTCAAACTCAGTTGGGTATTTTACACTTTCCCATTTACTGTTAAAATATAATAAAGTTCAAATGTTTGTTTACATGTTTGTTATTATGTTTGATCTCTAATATGAGAAACGACAAGAAAGACTGCAAGTTGCCAAGTTCATGTGCTGAAATAGAACCTCTCAATATACCTGTTAATTTTTCCTTATCCTGACTCATGCTCTTTTTGCTTGTCTTCTTCTTCTTGCGAACATAGTGGAACACTTGTATCTCCCTAATTGAAGCTCCCTTCAATTTAAAATCACTAATTAGTATTCACCACGAGTTACCTCCTTTTCACAAGCGCGGGAACGAGGGCGCCACCTCTACCCATGTGCCTCACTCTCTCCTTCTTCGCCCAGTGAGCTGGACGTGAGAGCGCCTGTGTCTCCCGACACACTATATCCTTTGAAATATATTTAGTTAGTTACCTCGTATAGACATCTATAGAGGTTTAGCTAGTATCCTTCAACGATTATATATTGATATTTAGTGGTTTTTCTACAGTTTATTCACGGGACCTTGCGTGTTTGTTTCAGTGGATTACGTTGATGAAAATTCTGTACTATTGCAGATTCGTTTTTATGCTGCTGCTGATCCGCCTTTAATATGATGTGCGGCCATGTTTATTATATTCACATTGCAGTTGCGGTACTAATTTATCAATTCTACCTTTTTATTAATATTTACTTTCGTTTGCTACGCTGGCAGATAGGTCGGCGTATGCAGACTCTAGTATGACTGATACACGGAACCCTAAGCCAGTCTACTGCTGTTGGCCGACTCCCCTCCCGTGTGGTGTTCGCTAGAGTGGTGGAGAGGTGTGGGGCGTAGTCCGCCATCTCAAGAAGCATCCTGCTTCCCCAGACATCCCATCGTCGCAGCAGAAGACTAGAGGGTTTTCTACCAGTACATCAAAGATTGACCGATGTCGGCTCAGATCAGCATGCAGCCTGATGTACCAACGCCAGATATGTCGATGATGCGTCCTGAGGTCCCATCATTACCAACACTCAGCGCGGGCGTCGCACACCCAGGGCAGCGTCGACCTCTGAGGGAGAAAATCAGCGAAGTCTACTAGGACTTTCTCAAGCGAGATTGTTCCAGCCGATGACCTGGACCTCTCGATGATCAGCTGATCATCATCCCGGCGTGCGCCACAAGAAGCGACCCGGTGACAGCTAGCGACATCAGCAGAGATCACCATGCAGCCTGATGCCTCTACACTGATGTCGGACGATTTTCGGTGGACCCCTCCATTAACACGCCAGATAAAGCACCGGCGACCTGCGTGCAGACCATCCCAGAAGACATGATGCGACAAATTATGAACATCATGGAGGACCACTATATCTCGCGGTAGCAGGGTCGAACCTTAGCGAAGGCTCCAACGTGAACAGCACCCCAGAGGCACCCCCGTCAGCGTAGCAGCCAGGGCGATGTCACCTTCGCTGAAGGAAGTCACGGACCACCTTGGCCGAAGGACCTAGATGTACAGCCAGCGAGAAGGCCTTGGCGGAAAAGGACCTAGATGTACAGCCTTCACGGCGGAAAGAACCCTAGATGTACAGCCTTCATGCGAAGGACTTAGCGAAGGCAGGATAGATCATCACCTTATGCGGTTTCATCCCTAGATGTGGACTCGGACCATCAGACATCACGGAAGCCTTCGCGAAGGTCATATCGTCGTTCCCCAGGACCACACGACTTCTGAATATGATAAGATGATCCATGCGGCCCTACTTAGGCAAGCTCTTCGCCGATCCCACATCCTGTTAAACACAGAGGCTGTTCCGCGAAGCAAGCTCATATATATATTTATATATATATATATATACTAATCGGGCTTTGACTCGACACCTTCGAAGGTCGCGAAGGCTAAGTGGCTCAAAGTCTACTTCACCCAGAAGATCTAGAAGGGATGCTTGAGAACTTCGCGAAGTCTCGGCGTTCACCGAGGAAGTCTCCTCCAAAGGTTTCCATATACTAGCCACTGCGTCATATATAGCTACTTTCGTCCAGTCCGTTCAAGGCGTCATAAGTTGATTATCAACTGTATGCCAGATGCCGTCTATAAGCCCTCTGGCGAAGATAATTGCTCAGGCTATTTACAACACAGAGCGTCGCTGTATTAATAGTCAGCGACATTTCATAGATCTTCACAGAAATCAACTATTCGGTATAAATTGCTAATATACAATCCCGGACGGCGATCACGATTATCTACATGCGTGACCATTACGCATATCTGCAACAATTCAATATCGAAATTGAACAGCAGCCTTGTTACAGCGAGTATAACTCTTAATCGTCAAAGTTTCTGAGAAGAAATATGTACAACAAGTTCAGCGTTAATTCTACAATTATGACGATACATTCATGTATACAGTCTACAAGCTCACAACTTGCAAGTTGTTTTATACCCTTATATATAAGGAAGTCGAATTATATTCAAAACTGAAATTACTTTCCGCGACAACCAGGAAAATAACCTACCCAGCATAAAATTACAGAAGCGAGATATTTGGCGGAGGTTTTCAGCGATTACCATTAACCCTCGAAACCGTGGTCACTTTCGGATAACCGGGGAAGCTACGGTGAAGACCGGCGTTTATGCTAATATCAGCGGCGACAAGAATTTATTCAAGGTGGGTTTTCCGCTACACCGGTGACATCACAGCGGGTATTATACAGAATCAAAATGCCTTGTTCTGATTGGACGCGGAGGGACAAGCGACCTACACAGAGGTCGATCTCAATTCACAGTTCAAGACTTACGTCTGAAGTGACAACTATATATCAGTGAGCGAGCAAGCCTCATTACAGTCAGTTAACCTGAACATTCATGATTAGACTGCCTTTCTTCAAGTTAGAGACCTCCCTGTCAAAGTTAAGGCGAGGGATCGGCAGTCAAGCGATTTTACATAAAGTTCAGCGAGGACAGACACACCTGGTTGTGCACCTACATCGTCAAAGGACTTATGGCGAATTACCTAGGCGAAGATACAAGTGGATCTAAATCCACAGCGTTTTCAGACTACAGCTGAATTTCATCAGCGACTAACACAACTAGATGGTTAGTAAACCTACTAAACTTCTGTTTGGAGAATAAAGCGAAATTTCACAGCCCAACCTGGGGATATGAATATAGTGCTCATTAAAGGTCACATAAACCCTAGGGGTACAAATACATAAATCACTAACTGGCATCGTTATAAATGAAACCCGTCATTAAAACTACTCATTTCGACCTTTAATTGACTTAAATCGACCTTTTTGACAACAGTGCACAATTCTCACCCATGAGAGCGAAATTTCAACCAATCAGCGGTAGCCTCTGTGGCGTCATATGAGGAATAGCTTTGAGGGCCGATGCAGAATTCATCTACATTTTAGGGGTTAAATTATCTTGTTTACAGGCTTGTATAAACCTGAAATCGTGACAATTGTTGTGGAAAATGAAAGCTATATGTTCTCACAATCTACTGTCATTTAATTTTGTCTCCTGCTTTGCCTAGTTTCCGAGTTACAACTTGTTTTCATAGGCGATTCTGTCAAAATCGATTGGTGTCGTTAGGCCCTATTTGTATAATGACTGATCCAAATTGATCCCATTTCTGTGTTTTTTTTACCTCGATATTTAATCATGTCATGTAAAATCTGTTTTGTATTCTCAAAACAGTGTAATACCATAAGTTTTCACATGCAATACAGCAATTAATACTCCCTTGTTGTAACCCGTGTTAGGTGGTATAAACCTACACATGTTATTTGTCATCATTCACTTGATGGTCAGTTAATGAATTTATAACAGGTATAATTAGTGGTAACACACTTAGATTACCGACAAAGGTTCCCATTTGGCATTTCTTGTGTCTGGAGTAAATATTCAACATTATAAACATCGATCAAAGGATTAACCGATAACACGCTGATTGATTAATTACTTTTATCTTACACAGCGGATTGTCAAAGGTAGTGTTTATGTATGTAGATTTACTAATCTATACTGAATACACTCTGTGGGTGTGCGGTGTCTCTAGCGTAAAAACAAGCGTCCTTCTTTCAAAGGATTAACCGGCAATACATTGATTGATTGCCCATTATTGGCTAACTAAATTACTGTTTTTAAAGAAAGGCGGACATTATGCAATTAGTTGCCAGGTGTGCTATCTTGGGTGACCAATGAGACTATACACCAATACCTGAAAAGATTTATCACTTTTTATATATTAAACTGTTAAAAGACACATCATTTGGAACAGTTTTGTGGATATTGATGGATACATTCCTCGAACAAGGTAATGGCCTGATATTGTTCCTATAACTTTAATCTGTTTTAATTTTAATATTTGCATTTTGTTTTATTCATTTGTAGTAGCATTCAACAGAATCATTGTTTTAGCCGTGAAGTGTAATGAGACAGACAACATGCACTAGGGTGTGTGTCGCGAATTATGATTCACATTGGCAAACTATAAAATGTCTAGATATTACAGTTCTGTTATAAATTCACTATAAGTATCAACAGATCGTCTGCTTTTTATTTAGTTTCAAAATGCATACAAAGTATGATAATAAACTAATTAGGATTATAAGACCAAATATAAAGAGGCACATTGACTAGTATCTACATACTGGTGAGTGGACATTAACCATGGGAATGTAGCAAAGAAATTTATCGGCGCAGTATTGTGACTTGACCCCCACCTGCGGCTTCCGTGGAAGAAATGCGTTATGTTATAAGTTGTGTCATGCAAAATCCGTTTGGTTATGATTCCAATACATATTTAACTTCTGAGTAGAAAGTAGTCTTGATTTTCTAGCAGTGAAAACAAACTATAATCTCATTAATTCTAACAGATTTTTTATTTTTAAAAATGAAATGACCCTGTGGGAACATCCAGCCAGTCTGAGGATAAATGGTATTTAGGTTTGTTTTCACCCGAGTTACAAAATCAAAACTACTTTCTACTGATAATAAAATATGTATTTTATTGATAGCCAATAGGATTTTGCATGACATGCCGTATATATAACAATTTCTCTAAATGGCGAGCGTGGAGTGTCAATATAATACTACTTACAATATTATTGTTACTTCGACCACAACCTCACTTCGAGGAAGAAATCGTTATGTTACAAGTTGTGTCATAGAAAATCTTTATGGTCATCAATCATATGCATATTTTACTACAACTAGTAAGTAGTTTTGATTCTTTAACTTCCGTGAAGCGATCTGAACACAAGTAAGATATCGTTTCAGGCTTCCCTGGCAGCTAAACCGCACTCCACAAAACATAACCCATTTAGCGCGAACTGCGGGGGTCCTGTGGAAATCTGTGCATGGGGACACCATCGCCCGACCCCTAGAAGCAATTGGCGACAAAGCAGCGATTAGGCATGTAAATTACGTTGATGTCGAGAAATCATCAAAATGATGGCGTGCTACACATTTTCTATACAACTAACTGAAAATCGTTCCTCATATGGCGTCACTGCAGTGCTCTGGCGACAGGGGATTCGTAACCTGTCTGTGGTTTTAGTTGGTGGGCGAGTGGAGTGCAGCAAAACCAAACTCACTCACTGCCATGTCATCTCGCTCCCGCTACTAGAAAAGGGAGGTAACTCGCGGTGAATACTAATTAGTGGGATTTTAAACTGAAGGGAGCTCTAATTAGAGGATACAAGTGTTCCACTATGTTCGCAAGAAGAAGAAGACAAGCAAAAAGAGCATGAGTCAGATACATAAAATATCAATTTTAATTCCAAAATTACATTTTTATCTATTTTTGTGTATGCATGTAAGATCAAATTTATTGAGTATTTTAAAACTCAAAGGTAACACTTATATTTATTTATGTAACAGTAGTCTGTTCCTCTGGGTATATATGCTTATTTCTTCCCCATAGGGGGCGGTGGGGTAGCCTAATGGTTAAAGGGTTGGCTCGTCGTGCCGAAGACCCGGGTTCGAATCCCCACATGGGCACAATGTGTGAAGCCCATTTCTGGTGTCCCCCGCCGTGATGTTGCTGGAATATTGCTAAAAGCGGCGTAAAACCAAACTCAGTCAGTCAGTCAGTCTTCTCCATAGTTTAATATATTTCTGTTTTTTCTTGTGTTTATTTATTGGCAGGTGATATTGCTGTTATTCCTTTAGCTTTTCCATACAAGTGACATATGTTACTGTAGTTGTATCTTGCCCACAGTTGATATTGCTTTATATTCCCTACTAGTAGTTCTGCTATTTCTATCACACACACGGTATATCCTGTGGGTAACATTGTTATTTGGTGTCCGCAGGTGCCTGATGACATATTTCCCCTATATTAATTTTGTTTCTCTAATACACACATGATATTGTAATATCCTGCAGGTAACATTGTTATTTGTTGTGTGCAGGTGCCCGTTGCCTCGTGGTTTGATGACATGTCTGACACTGAGCTGCTGGACCTTCTGCCCTTCTTTGAGAACTTGTCACGAGAGGACAGTGTATACACAGTGCTCAAAAACAACACAAACTCTCCTGCCTCCACCCCACCCTCATAGCGAACTGCCGCCTGGCAACACAATAACTTAACAAAACTCGTTTATGCAAGTTTTTATTATAAATCAGTGAATGAAAAGTGTGTGAATGATCAGGAGCGCCCAAGAGCAAATGTGAAATTGGACACTTGAAAATTTACACATACTTATCTACTCTGCTTAGAAAAAAAAACAAGAAAAAATACAAAAAATGGCGACATGCTCAAATTTTCTGCCTCGCACTCATTGGTTGTGATGTATCACATGACTCATAAACCAGTGTTTGGTTGGTGAATAAAGAGGTTAGTTAAACCAAGAGTGGCCTGTGACAATCGAATCTTGGGTTGACGAAGAGTCTGTCCAGATGGAATGAGAAAAGGAGACATTAGTAGTGACGGAGATTCCCCCTGCAGCAGTAAAATAGCGACCTAGCATCACTTGCTCCGTCAGTGGATAAGCAGATTGTCCACTATGACAGGGATTAAGTTGACTGTGTCGACTTTATCCCCATCCTCGCATCCACGTCTGAGCTGGCCCGGAAAAAATAACCAGTACACGACACACCATGAGATGAACTACAGAGGTGAAAAATGGTGTACAGATCAAGGGAGACAACTTTGTTGTGGCACTGGGCAGGAGAATTTCGGCACTGAGGAGGACAAAGAAAACTTGGTTGGCTGTTGTTACAAGGAATATCATTGGCTGCTGATGGTCATGTTTTCATCGGCTGATGTACCAGGACTAATCAAGTGTTTGTTGCCAAATGTTCGTGTTCAACTTCAACTAGTAACATAAGGTGCACAACTGTTTTAATTTCTAGCTTACAGTTAATTGTAGCGCTGCAAGTTCAAATCATGTGATATAATATTCAAGAGAAAATAATTCAGACTACTGTTCTGAATTGAAGAAAAATGGCAAAAATTGTTAAAAACTAAAAATGAAACAAACAAAAAAAGTTTTTCGTTCTCCCCTTTTTCACTCTGTGATGAGCTTTATTCACTTCAGGGCTCTGCCCCATCCATCACGTGCAATGAACTCTTTTAATGTGTAAAGTTTTAACTATCTGAAACTGAATGATCTTTAACTTGTTTTAGTGAAGTAACATTTGTCATGCATATGTGTCATGTTAAAGATGAAATGTTTATTGATGGGTTACTAGGCAACACATGACTCAATGTTCTAGTGTGTTCTCATTCTATACTGTGCGCATGCCCACTTTCTCTATATTGCCTTGCTCACAGAACTGATGGCTAAATCCACAACAAATATGAAAACAGCATTGTTCAGCATAGCTGAAAACAGTAGGAAATAATTGTATATACTTGTTTATGAGCTGAAAAAACAACATAGTTTTACATAGAAATAGAGACAATATTTTACATGTTTATACATAGGGATAAAGAAACAACATTGTTTTACATGTTTATAAGCATGGAAATATTGACATTGTTTTACATTTTTATCAGATTCCAAGGCTATATTGTGGTTATTTAACCTGGCAATATAAGCAAAGACATCATTCTATCTGTACTACCTACCAGTCCGGAGGATTTCTTGGAAAATGAATCTTATAGAAATAGATTGTATTGTAGATTTTTTTCAAAAATATTTTTCTTGGCAATGCCAGTTTTAAATATTGAGCTTTCAGGGTCCAGTTCTATCCCTGATTGAGGATATTTGTATTCAGTGTCAACTGAATTTGATTAAATAAAAGGTATGTTTTCATTTTTGTTGTGGGCATTGCCATCAGAATGAAAATGGCAGCTATCTTTAAAGTTTGATCAATTGTCTACACAAGCCTGTTGAGTTGGAGTATATATATGCGCCTATATAGAAGTCGTCTACAGATACTGTTATGCTGTGGGTTTTAATTTCTGTTGATTTCTTACCTAGCAAGAATGGTGTTAGTATTGAAATAAGCCATGTTTGTGACACCACTGATGTATATCAACCAAATCGGCATCTCCACCCCTAAACCCTATCCTGAAACTTACATTGTAAGAAATGTATCGTTGAGACAACTAACCCAAAACTTACACCAGTTTATTGCAATCTGGGGGTTAACTTCATGAGCAAGTAAGGTAGCTAAGTTGTGGAAGAAGGCAAATGGTCCTTTCGACTGTGCTCTGGTCGAGTATACTATTGCTTCTCTGCAGTACAAATAATAGCAGGTTGTAGTTGTCAGCGGGTGAGTCGAGGTCATAGCTGCTGTTAGTTATCAGGAGCTTGCGTTTTGAGAAACATTTCTCGGCTGTCACGTGTGATCACTTATCGTAACATATTTTTGTTTGATGAGCCACGATGTACTTAAATGATATCACTTCACTCAAGATTGATAGTAAATCTTTGTTTTCTCGCATGGCTGATTTTAGGACATTCAAGTTTGGTTCTTGTACTGGGAAAGAATGTATCCCACACTGGCTTTCAAGTTTGAATGTATACATAGTATTCTATGCTTGGTGCTTATGAACCATAACATCTATGAATGATTTTCGTTATACACCAACAGCATGACGTTCAGGTTGATAATGAAGTTACCCATATTTTGTTGTTTCACGTAGACCTAAACGAAGCTCACTGTAATATTGGCGATACTTGATTCAAGAACATCACATGATAATAAAAACATTAACTTTATTATTATACCTACAAGATGATGATGATGATGATGATGATGATAATGTTACTCAAATCATGGCATTATTTTTAGGCGTATTCTTATTACAGATTCAGAATCTGATCTTTATGACATGCATTTTAGACGTTGTTAAGACATATTTTTACTCGAAGAAACCAACTATTCATGACTCGAAGATTTGTAGAATTTTATGAGAGTGTGTTTATCAATTGTATATAAATTAATTATTTTAGTTTATTTCAGTTTCAGGCTGTTGATGAAATTTTCATTTTTTTGTAAAGTAAGATGAGGGCTTGTTAGGCTATGAACACCTAAAAGGTACGGTGACCCTCATTGAAACACTCAGATTGCTGGGCAAACTGTACCTACATGCAATGTCACTTACAGAAGGAAATTATTTTTGCTACTTTTGAAAATAATATATATATGCTTGTAATATAACATTGGCCTTGTCACAAGCTACTTTTTACAATGCCAAAAGGGCAGTGTAGATGTTAAGCTTGAAACAAGTGTTGAGGTTGGCCTATTGTACATGGAGTTGATGTGTGTACAGACTAGCGGAAAGAGTATATGAATATACATGTATACATATGTAGATAATGTTATATGCCAGTGGTGATGCATATAGTGTACATGCATGAAACACTTGTGTCAGTCACCTCTGTTGTTTGGATCAAAACACTCCCCTTAACCCACCTACTTCTGTTGTACCATCTTGTTTCCTACCCTGGCAAATGTGAGTCGGTGATGTACGTCGGTAGATCTTCACTCCTGTCAACATTTTCATATGGAATACTTGTGGTGTATACTGAATGTTTGTAAAAACAAACAAGGCCTTTAGTTTTTTTGCTTGATTTGTTTTCTAGGGTTTTGCTGATTATGGAAAATGTTTTTGAAGTCAATGCGTTTACCTGTTTTGAATTAATTGTTTATGACTTTTTCATGGTTGTTGAAATATGTTAATTGTAGTGAGATGATTACAAATTACTTAACTCTTTAAGAAGAGCTCATTGGATTCATCATTTTTGCTGACTGAACAAAACTGTGAGCACAAATGGTCTGTTACTGTTTTGAAAAATAGTTTTGATAGATGTTTATAGATTTTGAAGAACGATGTCTTCCATGAAATGAACTATTTTGCAAAAACGTTAAGTTACTTGTCAATAATGGCTAATTTGGTTAAGTCTATGAAACTATGCCTCTTTGTGTTGAGATCTGAGGACATGTCTATCAAAAGGTACATCAGGTGAACTCCGAGTGTACTTTGACTGCCCAATGTAATGGAAGGCGGAGTAGATTTTTGAGCCTGTCAGGAGTCTGAAATGATGAGGCTTCATTTTTGTACCATTTTGATGCTGACATTTTTTACAAACCCACACGGCACACATTCCTGCATTCTGAGACACAAGAATTTCTGAAATGTCGACAAAAGTATGAAACAGCAGGACTAAACTTTCTACTTTTGAAACTCGTGTTAGTTTTGGCAGATGAAGTATTTTCTAGTTTCAGTGCCTCACTCGTGCTGAGAAATCAGAAAAGACTCCACCCTGATGCGGACTAGTTGATTGAAAGTTCAGTTGATGCGAGCTCGTCGAGATGTGTCCTCAAATCTGTACACAGAGTGGTGTTGTGTCAGAGTGTAAAACCTGATTTTCAAGAGAGTAAAGGCACGGTTGATTAATTGTTACATAGTGTCAAGTCTTGAGGTGTTCATTCATGCAAATATGTTGCATGGCTTGAATGGAAAATATTCTCGCACCTTCCTTACCGTTATAAACATAATAATTGTGCCATATGACTACCAAATTCCCAATTTCATTTAATGTGGTTACTATATTTTGATATAAACTGCGTGTGGAAGCACCTGTTGGTTTGATGAATCCCCATTACGATGGCCTAATATTAAGTAGTAGGTAATGTTAATCAAATGGTTTGAACCACAGCTTCGGGATGACATTAGTGATATGACTTCACCTTATGCAGAGGTTTAACCTCAGGTTTGGAGGGGCGGTGGGGTAGCCTAGTGGTTAAAGTGTTCGCTCGTCATGCTGATGACCTGGGTTCAATTTCCAACATGGGTATAATGTGTGAAGCCCATTCCTGGTGTCCCCCACCGTGATATTGCTGCAATATTGCTAAAAGTGGTGTAAAACCAAACTCACTCACTCATGTTTGAATGATCCAGTGGAAGAGTTGCCTACCTTATCCATACCAGGATCTGCAGGTTGTGTGTTTGAGTCCCCAAATTGCCCAGAATATGATCATGTTCTATCCCAACCATGTTTATAGGATTCACAAACATGATGGTCTCACCAGCTAGAACTTCAGCTCTCCATTACACCGAGCTCATAGATAGTGAAATATCTCAAATTCCGTCACTACAGCATCAAACCCTAATCCCTCACTCACTTTACCAAAGGAGACACATCTGTGAACATCTTTGCTTGACCTATTTCCCAATGTCTGCTGTATCTATTGACCCTCTACGACCACCCTCTGTTCTTGTGTATATCTATAAATGTATCTCACATTTACCTTTGTTGATGCTTCTAATGGCAGTTATATGTGTATTATGTCCCATTATGGAATTGTAAATAGACCCAGTTAAGCATGTTTTGATCATAACCTTTTCTGCTTCTAGAGCCTTACGTATTTATTTTTTGCAGTTACATGTATATAAGGGCTTTGCTTTCACTAAACCATTAATATTGTAAGTTGGCAAGATGAACCCGCAAGGTGTTATCAATTCAATTCTTCAAGTCTGAGTGCCTCTTGAAAGTATCACACAAGGTATAATAATTTTCAGAAATATTGCGAGATCAACATTTAATCCTAAATGTAGGTCTATGAGATGTCCTCATGGTTTAAGTGTTGGCTTGTCAATCAAAGCCCAGGTATGTGTGGAAATCATTCTTGATATTTAAGCTGTTATTTGAATGATATTGCTAAAAGCAGAGATGAGAATGGGTATTAATGAAAAAAGAGGAAAACAAGCCAGGGGTGTTTGGGGCCTCAGGTCCCCATGCCAGATCCAGTGACCCCAGCCCGATCAAATCCACGGAATTCAGTAGATCCACAGAAAATTCTCATCCCTGTTAAAATGGGTTCAAACCTCACTGACTTGTGTTTAATGTTAGAAGTTACAATTTTGCGTAATGGAGTTTTCGAAATAGTTATATCTATTATGTTCTGATAATACGTGGTACTTGTTTGGAGAAAAGACCTAATTGAAAGAATATTTAAATTTAATATCAGATATCGGTAGGTGTCTTGGTATCACTGCACAAACATATCACAGGGTTCTTGTACTATAAACACGACTGACATCAGTGGCGTATGTGAATATAGCAAACTGTAATCTCTTTAGAGAGGCTGGCAGCCGTATATTTGAGAGATTACGGTAACTGTCATATATATTTATATATATGTGTATGTATCTGAAATTATCTACCTGAATAATCAGAGGTATACAATATTCTTTCATTACCCAAAAACGTTTTTTCATGAAATATGAATTATGAATAACACTTCAGTTTGTGACACTGCTTCTGAGGAAATTAGAAATATCACGGTTTGGACAGATTCACTTTGTGTACCTGTTTCTAAAAACTGTTGGATAGCAATTCAAGTGGTGCTCTGAAGATTCTAATCTAATAATGCTGATGGTATTGTTTGCTCACCCTGTCTGAGGGTTTATGTGAGCCTATGTTGAGGTGCAATGTCGGTCTCTCAGGATCATATACATTTTTAGTCATCATCTAAAGCAAAAAAAGTTTAATGTTGAAAACAATTCATAAATGGTCACAGAAACATCATTTCTAGATAATGCTCATCCTCGATAATCTCCAGGGTATACGTTACGATCACTCTCCACTATACCCTGGATGCATCCACAGCTTGGCCCGATGATTTTAATACCTCCCTTTGCTGGCTTTTTATCCAATCAGGTGTCTACGATGGGAAGTTGAGCGAACCATCATAACTCACTTTCGCTTCTTAAGTTATCTAACCGTTTAAACTTGGCAACACCCGGGTTGATTCAGAGTGTAAGCCCATTTCTGGTGAAAGAGGTAGAAGGAGTTCTTTACATCAGTCAGTCTTTTTATCTAACCGCTTAAACTTGAAAGTTTCAGATCTGTCAATTTGTCTGTATGTTTTCCTAAAAGTCTGAGTGGCACTGCGTACAAACCTTTGTGACTGCGACTGTGACCGCTACCTTTGTTAACACTGGCAAGCTTGGATGTAACGGCAGCTTAGCTGATTGGCTACTGTGAGAATGCGGAGCCAGCAAAGGGAGGTAATCCAAGCAGTGGATGCATCCAGGGTATAGTGGAGAGTGATCGTAACGTATATCCTGGAAATTATCAAGGAAGGATAATGATACGACTGTTATATTGGTATAACATGTATTTTGGTCCCGCTATGACTCTTCGCCTCCCATTTTTTCTGATGAGTAGAATCAAAGGTTCTGGCCTGTGTAGAAACAAAAATGCTTCGTAGTGTTTCTGTTTTGAGTTTTACTCTCCAGGGCCTGTTTTGTATTAATTTCATATCATTTTGAACTTTTGTTTTAAATGTTGCACAAAATACATTTGAGAGACAGCCTTGTGACTTACCTGTTGGGTAAAAACCTCAGAATGTAAGACCAGCCATTTTATCTTTTGTGGAAAACAAAACAAGATGAGTGCTGTTACTGTATAGATGCATATTTTCAGCAAATGAAAATATGTTTTCCTAGAAGAATTGTCAGAAATTTAAATTAAATTTGAATATCCGAACTCTGAGAAGTTAATTTTTCTGTATCTTTTACAGATATCCAGATGTTCTTGAACCAAATATATTTTCTTTTGGTTGACATCCCAGGGGATAATGTGGCCTGTCTGTTATCATTGAGACCATCATCATCTTCAAATTTCGTTTTTGTTACTGGCATGTTTCATTCAATTTAAAAAAATAATAACATGACTAACTCATGTTCAATGATTTAATATTCTGTGAAATTTCGCTGTTTGAATTGCATGCAATATTAATAATGAAATTACTGTTTTTTTCGTTTATAATTTTCTATACAAAAAAAGAACTTATATAGTCTTGTTATGCTTAGTAGCTCTGAATTGTGTGAACTCTTTGAATGACGTAATCAAGCCGACTGAGTGTTTGAGTTGAGTACAAGATTGCACATGTGACAGAGATCATTCTCAGGCTAGGCCTAGAACTTGGATTATGAATACAACTAAAATAGATTAAAATGTAAAAATAAATGAAAAATGTTTCTGTTGATTCTGCTTACCAGAAATAAGTAATATGTTAAACTATCAATTAAATCATATATGTAAAAGATATAAAAGAAGAGACCTGGTTAAAATATGTCTTTAGGATCACCCATCCCTTTTATATGATGATAATTTGAAAACAGAAACCAAACAACTTAACTTTCAAAGGATCTACTTGAAATCTGATCTTTTGATTTTTAATTATTTTTGACCTACCAAAATGAATTTGTTGCAGATTTTACATAATCCCCAGCACTTTATTAAGGTCTAGCCTAAGGATGATGCTCTGTTGAAGGTCAGGATGTTTTCAAATGGGTTCCATGTGTCTACTGATGAGAAGCTGAAACATTAGTGATGAACATAATGGGCATTTGTCGTGAAATTGGGCTCAGTGGTCACTGTGTGTTTGTTCTGAATTTCAACTCTCTGCATGTAGTGAATTCAGAAACACTGAATTGTATTGGTTCAAATGGAAACAAACATACAAAACCATAATTGTTACGGAAATTGCAATGAATTTATTTTGTTGATGTCAAAATTTTCTAAAGACATATTGACTCAATGATGTTAAATTAATGAAATATTATTTTGGGTTATTTATCTGAAACACAAATGTTTCTTATAGTGTTGACCTCAGTCTGTCTGGCTTGCTAGAAGCAGGTTACTTGTAATTCTGGGTGTTCTATTTTGTAAGGGGAGACAACTCTGTCAGTTCTTCACCATCCCAATAGATGTGTTGTATATTTGTAAATACTAGTGTAGCCATTAAGAGTGACTGATTCAATGTTTTGACTTTTCTAAGCAATGTAATTTTCTATACATGATTATCCCCATTAACATGAGGTGATGGGTGTATAATGCATATTTTCTCTGATAATTTTAATATAAACAAAATAAAAAAGTTACACATCATTTGATGCTTTTCTTGTTCTTTGAGTGAGATGATCCCTTTGCTGCTTGTGTGATAGTGGGACAAATCTGTATATCCATTCAAGTCCTGTCTACTTGAGTAAATGTTGTGGTTGCATTAGTCTGTCTCACAGTCCCTGAACCACATTATTTTCCCTACTGCCAAGCTCTCTCTGCAGTGCTAAAGCTCTAAATAAAGCAAGTCTAGATTTCCTCAGGTTCAGGTTCTGAATCTCTGGTCTCCCTAGGGCTCCTTTTCAATTTAAATGGGCTTGTTTGTTCCTATCAACATTATATATATTCAGAGACTAAGCCTTAGTCTATGGTTGCATAGCCTAATGTTGGTTTCGCTTGGTGCCTTAGTTGATACATGTTGTATACCAATTGTGTAGACTGATGGTGTTGATCACTGGATTGTCTGGTCCAGAATATAGGGGCAGTGGGGTAGCCTGGTGGTTAAAGCGCCCGCTCACACTGAAGACCCGGGTTAGATTCCCGACATGGTTACAATGTGTGAAGCCCATTTCTGGTATCTCCAACTGTGATATTGCTGCCATACTGCTAAAAGCAGTGTAAAACTATACTCCCTCACCAGAATAGATTCTTTACAGACCGTCGCCAAATAGCTGGTATATTGCTGTGGCGTTAAACAACAACACAAACAAACGAAAAGACCCCCCAAAAAGGTGTTTGTTTCAGCACACCAATTTCTATATGGGTACAATGTGTCAATACATGTCAATTCATTCTTAGGATGCTGAGTCTGTGGAGAGGAAGCGTACAGACTTGTTCCTTTGGGGACAATAAGGAATGGAAAGCATCTACCCTGGGAGTAGAAGGTGGGCCATGGGGTCCCCCCAGAAGTAGCACCCTAAAAATATGGTTTCTTAATATTTGGCACTTTGTGAAATCTTGCTCGGCATTTACACCACTCGTTCTGAAATCTGTGAACACCATGTGCAACTTGATTCACCTCCTCTGTATCAAACAGCATGTTTCTGACAGAAACCTAAGAGGACTATTTCATGGAGGTGAGGAGTATAGGAAGCGCTCATACAATCTTTCACTATTTGGATGCAGGCGCTAAGAGCAGGGTGCTTATCATGACATGTGATTATTTTAGTTTCCCCAAAACAGAAACATTGACTGGGTTAAGTTGTGAGAGTCTAGGATGACACACAGTCAATCAGGTCATCGACACTGACAACCAGATCCGTTTGGTCACCTCGAACAGCACAGGCTGCATTGGAGTCATCTATGTGTTAAGTGATTTTGTTTGCTGTTTAACGCCAATCTCAGAAAAAAATCAACCTAAGCTCTCTATAAATAGAGTCTGGGTTAGAAGTGACACATCATGAACATGGACCTACGCAAGTGGATTTGGTTTTGCTTTGGTTTGTTTTACGCCGCCCTCTGCAATTCTCCAGCTATTTGGCGGCGGCCTGTAAATAATCGAGTCTGGACAAGACAATCCAGTGGGATACGATGACCTGTGTCAACCAAGTCAGCGAGCCTGACCACCCGATCCTTTTACGACAAGCAAGGGTTGCTGAAGACCAATTCTAACACGGATCTATACTCAGTACGGGTATCTACGCAGTTGGAGCACGATAGCATGTGTCAAGACCGCGAGTCTGACCACATAGATCGCCTCTGTTGACAGGCATGAGATGCTCTAGGCCAGTTCTTCGTGAGGGTACATGTGTAAAGCTTGACGTGGTATACCTCCATCAACTAAAGTAAAATGCAACTCACAACAAGCAGTGTGTGGTCTACTGGACTAAACCTTAGATCTCTGAAAATGTGTCATTTTGATAGAAACAAGGAACTTCATTTCCATTGAACGGGGAGCCCCGTAGTCCAGCATATAGGAAGGCGTTTCCTATTCTCGCGGTACTTACGGATATCGGCTGAAAAAATAACACAAACAATTCTTATCATATGAATGCTTGTTGTTTTTGAATGAAGGGCCTTCTCCTCTAACATCTACATCTATCAGCTGCTAGATCCATCAGGTGAATTACCACTCTCGAGCCCGGTGATAAACAATGCCATCCGCCATTGACGATACGAGGCTTCTCCCAATCTCGCGGTATTACCAGGAATTAACGCTATTGAGTGTATATAAGAGCAATCCTGCCGGAAAGGGCGGGAAAAAGTAATGATATGTCCAAGTTGGTATAAGATCCCCAATATTTGTGACACTGCAAGAGTTTGATCACTTACAGACTTGGTCCACTTCCTAGTTACCAGTCGGTGAT